AGAAAAAAAGCAAAACGAACAAAAAAAAGAACACGGTACTACTTGTCTGTACACTTCACATACATGTAGCATTCTTTGGGTTTATTAGGACTTGGCTGATACGCTATGTAACATCATAACAAACGTGCAAAAACATGAAAAAGGATGTAACGTTTCCAAAATGGCATTTATTATATTTTAATGTCTTGAAACTATTTAAAATTAAGTATGACAGAATATTAAGTGTCAGTGAGCAGTGCTTAAGGATTAAATCTAACCATGTGGACAAAATATTGGGTAGTCTTTTTTGTTGTTTTTTATTTTACAATTGGTGATGATTTTGACACAAAACAAAACAAGCTCATTCAAAGAATCTATCAGTATATCGTAAGGAAAGAAATAATCCAGAATAAATGAAAGTCAGAAACTCAACGGTCAAAATCACAAACTTTTATATTGTTATATTTTTTTCCCTAATAACATCTCAAACATTAGGGATCCTGAGTCAACTCATTGCCGTTGAACCCCTGACTTTATTCGGTTTTATCTGGGCTTGCTTCTCTCATTGAGATACATCAATCAAATTGAAAGTAGACAGATAATGTAAACAGAAAGGAATCAGTTGACATGCACCTAAAATGCACGTGTTACGCATTGTTTATCAGCGAAAGGCTTCATGTGATTGGTTGAGAAATAAGAAAAACAATCAAAATTTGTAATTTTCCAGAAAGACGTCGCTACAGTCAGCCCGCAAGATATAGAATGAAATTTGTCAGGGGTCCAACGGTGAAGTGTTAATTTAGGAGTTACTAGGACCCCTGAAGTTGTGAGGATGCAAACTTCTGGCCCAATCTAATTAAAATCAGACTTCATAGATCCGCGTATTAGGAGTTATTATGTCGTGACAAAATTTAATTCTTCATTAAAAATCATTTTGAATTGCACACAAGTACTCTAGAGTTTATATTGATTGTTTGTTGTTTTACGTCCCATTCGAGAATTTTTCACTCATATAGAGACGTCACCATATACCGGTGAAGGGCTTCAAATTTAGACCCTTACTCGGCACTCAGGGCCTTTGAGCAGTGAAGGTTCTTTATCGTTCCAATTCCTACCGTGACACGAGGCCTCGGTTTTTAAGGTCTCATCCGAAGGAACAGTTGCTACCTGTTTTATCGACTTAAGACAATCGCGGCCGTGATTCGAACACACGACCTTCCGATCACGGAGCGGAAGTTTATCTTAAAACGATACTGGAGTAAAATGTGAAAGAAAAGAAAGAAAACGAAAATAAACAAAAGGCACATAGACCATATCGCTCACCTGAAAAAAGGTGCAAGAAAATAAACAAAACACAAAAATGATTTTTTTTTTTCTAGTAAAGAATAAACATTAGGGCACGGTGGACATGTGTGCTTATGTAATTAAAGTATTGCCCCGTTGAAAATAGTTTAGACAGACGAGATTGGTGTATATTAAAATACAGATTTTCTGAAAACTTTATTTCATTTGTTTTATGTTTTAAACGAATTAAGATAATAAGTTGAGAGTCTAGAGATAGATAAGACCTACAGTGGCGAGATTGTTTGTAAATGTAGAAAAAAAAAACAAAAAAAAAAAAATTAAGGTCAAGTTCATAATTTAGCATTCCCAGGCCCGTAGGAAGCAATTTCAGTTGGGGGGGGGGGGGCACAGCTGAACATTTTCAGTTGGGGGGCACTATCAACTACAAAAATTCCTTGGCAAGGTCATCGGACGTTTTTATTGAGGGGGCACAAGCATATAGTAGCTATGTTTTCTATAGTTATCTATATGTCGGCAAAATTATCGGGGCACCCCCCCCCCCCCCGATTCCTACGGCCATGATTCCAGACTAAATAACCTGCAAAGAGATAGAGATAGGGCACCAGTCAAGCTACTAGCACTATTAGAAGCGTTACGTCAATACTTCCGTAGCGCTATTAAAGCGTAACGTAAAATGTCACCAACATCAAGTAACGTCTCAAGATTCAGAATCTTTATCTCAGTTCACAGCCTAGAAAGTAAAGAGGATATTAAAATAAAAGACATTGAACTCAGAGCCTTGGCCTTAAGAACACAGTCAAGCTTAATGATGACGAGATGAGTAAATTTATCAAACGGACATCTATTCTGAACGATAAAAAAAAAATAGAATTTAATCCCTCGAAATATAGTCGAATCTTATCTTTGCACATCATTTTAGACCCTAGACATTTTTGTTGAATTTGTAATGCATCTATTCACTTAAATGAAATATGGAGATAACGAACAGTATTCAAGCTCAAAGTCCATTAAAACAATACAAATCGAGTGCAGAACAACCACGGACCTCCTAAAACATCAGAGGTGGGATCAGGTGCGATGGAGGAGTGAGCATCCCCTGCCGACCGGTCACACCCGCCATGTGTTCCTTGTCATGATCAAGGAAATAACGGAAACAATGGTCTAACAATTAGTATGAAAAAACGTCAGTCAGCATGACTTAATGATAGATTGTACTGTATTTGATGACAAGGTCATTGTATCGACCATAGAACTTACGAAATGATGACTTTAAACGAGACTGTTGATATTCTTGTTTCACCAACTTGTTTGTCAATAAGTTATCTCGTTTTAGAAATTGTTCATACGTAGAGCATGCTCTTGCGTATCGAAGAGAGATATACACCACAAATGCAGGTGATAAAGGTATATTGCTGCATATATAAGTAAGGGAAGTTGACGATAGAAAAGTTGAAGTCATCACGTTTATCATCAAGTTATGTTGTTAGATTACCATTAACGTCTCTTTCTAGTAAAATATCCTAATATGAAACAGATGTATCAGACTCTGTGGTATCTTTTATTTCAAACTCACTGGGATATATCGTGTCGACATATGAATAGAAATAACTTGCTATAATTCATAACACGTCGTCGATATATCTAAATGTCGAGTTGAAGGCCACAGCAAGAGATTTTTTTCCTCTGTATAAGATTTTGAATAAATTCTGCTTCATGTGAATACAAAAATAGACCTGCTAACAACGGGGCACAATTGGTAACCATGGAAATTCCAACAGATTGTTGGAAGACCTGGTCTCCAAAAACCACATAGATATTGTCAATCAGAAACCCAAGCATCTTTTTAATATCAACTCCAGAAAAGTTGTGTGTACAATCTGAATGTTGTTTTAACAAAATAATTTTGTAAATGACCAATGACAAGGTAAGTAAATTTACGAGTTCCTTTTTTTTTTTATTGAAAAAGCAGCTGTCATAGAACATGTTCAAATCACGCAGATTGATATCAATCTTAATGAAATATTTCAAATCTATAAGAAAAGTACATTATTTTGATATTTGTTTTTATTTATAGTTTCTTGTCATTGAGTAAATTATAAATGTTTATATTCATATGCATGTTTTTAATTATTTGCGTTACAGATTCTTTTTTCCATAAAAACTATCGCTTACTTTTTCTTGCCACCATTAAATGCAGAATTGTTAACGAATTCGCAAACGACATGGATTGTTCTTGTTTTGTGAGAATCACTTCTGAATACAGTATACCCAAGAAAAATGTGCGATCCCTTCATAAGAACCTAACGCGTTACACGCTTAAAATATCTTTAATTTGCGCTGCATGTAAATTTCTATATTTTGCAAATAATCTATTTAAATGTTATTTTCTGACTGGAATCAAGAAGTTCTATTCGTAACTTATTGATTCATACCAAAATCACCCATATTACGAGTATTGTTTTTAAAATCACCCATGGGTTTTAAAGGTGTGGTATTTAAATTGTAAAATGGCACTAACATCGCGCCTTACGTTAGATTACATGTCTCTCTTGTATAATGTAATTGTCTGAATGAATTCCATTTGATCAAATAACACTTCATTTGAGCGTTAACGTATGTAAGAATTTTTTTTCAGAATAAAGATTCTCATTAGCTTAGATAGTAATATACAAGCACTTACTGTGAAACCACTAATTTTCGTTGGGGGTTATTTTCGTTGTTTTCGAGGTATGAAAAGACCCATGAATTCATGCCCGCCAGTAAATGTAAAATTTCATATAAACAACTACTCAGCAACACTTCATCCACGAAATCTAATCCCCACGAACCCATTGTTTTTCCTCAAACCACAAAAATTTGACCCCATAAAAATGTGATTTTACAGTATTGGCAATCTTTTCTGGGAGATTTTACAGTATTGGTAATATTCTCTGGGAAATTTTACAGTGTTGGTAATCTTCTCTGGGAGATTTTATTTTTACAGTATTGGTAATCTTCTTTGGGAGATTTTTACAGTATTGGCAATCTTCTCCGGGATATTTTATTTTTACAGTAATGGCAATCTTCTCTGGGATATTTTATTTTTACAGTATTGGCAATCTTCTCTGGGATATTTTACAGTATTGGCAATCTTCTTTGGGATATTTTACAGTATTGGTTATCTTCTTGGGGGAGATTTTACAGTATTGGTAATCTTCTCTAGACTTTACAGTATTGATAATCTTTTCTGGGAGATTTTACAGTATTAATAATCTTCTCTAGGAGATATTACAGTACATGTATTGATAACAGTATTGGTAATATCTTCTCTAGATTTTACAGTATTTTTTTTTTCTTACAGACAGAACAGCAGATTTTGAGAGATTGTCATGGACATCATTCAGATATACATGTACTGCAGCAAAACAACTGATGGTTTCTCCACTCTAAAGTACTAGCTGATATTTATATCTCAACTCATTTAACCATATTTACTTATTTCAATTTATAGGGTTTTTAAGACCATGTGAATATGGAAATTTGCATATCAGGTATTGCTATAAAAAGCTATTAACCACAATTGCACATAAACTTCACTTGAAAGTTTGCAAGAGTGATTGCCTTGTAATCATATCACAGAGTGCAAAATTAGGAGGGAAAAAAAGATTTAGAAAACACATCTTTTAGGAGCATTTAATAAAACATAGTTTGTAACAATGAATATAATTATGTATCAGTTCATTTATCACAAATTAGGTGTTCAATGGTATGTAAAAGTCTTCTCTCTGTAGTTTATATAAAGTACAGTAATGCACTCTGATTTTAATACAATGTTTAAGAAAATAAACGTAAGACCACAATTTCAGTTATTTACATGAAGTAAAACGGAAATTCTTTAAAAGGATGTCCAGCATCTGTCTGAATCTTTTACCATAGGTCCCTATATAACAAACCAACAAACAGAATCAAGATTATATTAAATGGATGTCCTGAAAGAGGGTAAAAAATGGTAATCCTATTGCAAGAATGTCTTTTTATTTAAAAACAAAAAAAAAAATTTTTTTTAAATATTGGACCAGATCATTCAATTGAAAGTAGCTTAAATTCAAGATTGCTCAAATCATGCCCTTTGGGACAAAGACAGAGTAAAAATAAATGTCCAAATGCATTAAAAGTACTAAATTGCAAAATTCTCTTACATTTCTACACATTTTTATCTGAAGCATCATTTCATTTTTTTTTCAAAGTCAAGTATGTAGACTAGTCTTACCATGCATAGAGTAAAAATTCAAATTTGTTTCAAATCATTATAATAGCTAAAGGGCCTGTGAAAGTCCATGGGTTTAATTCAACTCTTCCTGCAAAAGAATATTAAAGATCAAGCTTCTTCCAATATTAAATAAGTTCAAAGTAGATAACAATAATGATCCATTTTTCACAAGTATCTTTGTAGCAACCAGGGGTAAATCTGAGATTATGTTTTAGTGGGGTGTGGGTTGTGGGTTAGACATGAAAGGAAAACGGAGTAAAATATATCTCAAACAATTGAATTTTTAGAGCAATCTCCAGCATTTTTCTCCGGTAAATGGTTATTCCCACTGGCAGATTTAGGAGGTGCAGGCCTCCCTCCTTTTGTGACCAAATTAAGGTATACATAAGATTAATAAAAATGACTTTTTTGTTGTGGGACCCACAATTGGATATTGCATTAACCATATGTAAAATATAGTATAAATAAGTGAAAAAAAACTGTTCCATGTAACCCCTATTACATGTACCTGAGACTCGGACAGATGATATAGATACAAGTATGTATATATTAGTTCACAAATTAATTTTATTATATATTATACTGAAATCTTCACTCACTTTTATCTGATCAGGTGAGAACAGAGTAAAATTAACTTTGACCTCTACGACCTTTGTGCTTTTTTCTGGTTCTATTGTTGTAGTGTCAGTTTGTTGCTTTGGTGCAATTTTCTTATACACTGTAGAGTGAAACTTCCTAGACTTTCTAACTCTCCTACAGTTTGAAGATTTTTCGATCACTTCTGGTTTCAGAACAGTAGGGCAAGGTTGTCCCGTCTGAACAGTTCCATAACTATTTGCAACAGACTGTAGGCTACGGAGAGTAGGACCTGACTCCTGTTGGGATCGGGATCTGAGATCGTTGATAAGGCTGAGTCTCTTTTTCTTAAGCATTAAGTGCATCAAGATAATGCTCGATATCGTAATCGACCTTGGCTAACTTGCTCAATCTTACAAAACAATAATCGCAAACATACTTTGATAAGCAGTCACTTGAGCTTGGAGTGTATCCTAAAACTTCGGTTAACTGACTGATTACGCCAAATGTGTTACCAAAGATGCTTCTTCGGCGTTTAGGGGATAGTAAATGGTTACATACCCGACATGGTGGACTGGCCGCCGCCATAACTATTTATGGCAGGCGGTAAACCTAGTACTGCTGAATCCCGACTCTCTCGGTTTTCTATTAATATTCCTCATAGAATCGCTTTATACTTGTCAGGCACGGTTTAAACATTGAAATATATTCACACATACATCAATATGTCAACAATGTTACGTAAAATGATAGATCCAAGAACCTATGATTTCCGACTCCCAATTGTTCCGGATTACACTTTTTTTTTTTTTATAATATTACTAATTCTTCCTTTTACCAAAAAGAATCGCTTTCAACTTCTTGGGCAAATTTGCTACGTTAAAGTTAATTTCACTTACATAAATATATGAAAAATGTTAGGTATGTTAATGTCATCTGTCCAAATTTGGTAAATTCTAATACTAAGAACCTAAAACGGATACCGATTCGTACTTAAAATGAAACAATTTTCTCAAAGCCCCCCCCCCCCCCCCCCCCGTTTTCATAAAGATTAAGACTGACTGGATTAGTGTTAAGGATAAATAATACAAACTTTTTTTCCCCAGAAATCAGAATAGGTTTAGTAGACTTGAGTTCAGATAGATAACTTGAATAATTTTTGCCAGTGAGAGTAAAATTAGAAATCATGTCAGATTTTCTAAAAATGTCAGAAAATGTGTGAAAATTTGTATCGAGTTATAAAGAAAATGACACACAGTCTCAATTTTGAAGACCAAAGAATTACTTAAATTTTCGCATAGTTTAGGAATTAATTATTTGTGTCAATTAATCAGATAAGCACTGGGCTCACAAAATTATATTCCCGCTCTCAACTATGATGATAAAGTCCATTTTTTGCTATGTCCGATCAAACCATAAAGGAGGAGGTGCACAATGGGACTATGTAATAAAGATTCTGTGAAAGTATCATTAAATTCAGTGGTATAGGAGGATTTGCGGATAAGAGATGAGTACTTCCAATATTACAGAAAGAATGGCAGTGTCCATGTTTTGCTATGGAAAACCTGAAACATGTGTCTAGTCAAAAAGTAAAATTAGGCTGTGCACAATGGTACTGTGTAATAAAGATTCTGTGAAAATATCTTTTGCGGATAGGAGATGTATGAGTAATGGATGGATAGACGGACGGACGGACGGACGGACGGACGGACACCCCCATCAATATATACCCCCGCTTGAAAAGCGGGATGTATAATTATTAGGGATGGCAATCGAATACAGAATTGTCAGTCGGTTAACCGCAAAACGTTCCGACCGATTAACCGGTTAATCGTTACAAAATATACATTTCTGGACATGTTTTTTTTTTAATTAACACTATTCATACCCCTTCCCTCCGACCTCGCAATAAATTGATATATAAATTAAAAAAAAAAACGGCATTATGTTTATGCTTAATCTGTATACTTTACGTATTTTAATTCAATTTCGAAAGGAAAACCATAAAACATCTATGAGATACATGTATCAGGGACATTGGTCACTTTCTGACGACCCCGGGGCCCAGACATTACACACGGTCATTCTGCATTGTCACCATAATTAGAAACTAAGTTTACACTATTACTTAATTTACAATGTTTGCATGAAAATATAATTTGGCAGATAACTGCAAAAGATACACAATGTAATCAGTTGACAATACTCAACGGTAATTTAATTATTATCATTAAAGAAATATAGGGCAGGCTGGGTAACGATGTGGTGTTTAAACAGCAATTAACACTTCACAAATTGACCATGCAATTATCCCAACGCCTCAGTCCGAAGAGCCTTAATAAATTATATCTAAATACATGTATATGAGAAAACGTTATAACTTATCAACATTCATAGTTTTTTTTAATATTGCATATTAAATTTTAAGGAAATTTACACATTTTTTCATTTTTTCCCACTAATCGATTACAGGTTTCCTAGCCCATTACCATCATTCCGACTGATTAACCGGTTAACCGGTTACAAATTGCCATCCCTGATAAATATATACCAATCCATGCCCAATTTTTGTTTTTGTTTTTGAGTTATTTTTTCACAAGGTTGTATGTTCAACCAAAATCTCATTTAATGAATCTTTTAAAATATGGTCTCAGCATGGAAAGATTGATATTACCTCAGTCCTAATTATTTTATATGATTGATTGATTGATTGATTGATTGATTGATTGATTGATTGATTGATTTATTTATTTATTTATTTATTTATTTATTTATTTATTTATTTATTTATTTATTTATTCAAAGAAAATGTAAACAAAAAAAATGTTTTATTTGCAAATAAGATGCTTCAGATTTTAAAGTTTCCTGTTATAATTAACAAATGTCTAATATAAATATCTAATAAAACATGACAAGAAGAGTAAGGAGACCTTTGTATTTTTTAATGAAATATAATCTATGAATTGAAAAAATATAATTTATTAATATTTTTTAATCTATGGATGAAATCTCCGAGAAAATAGATATGTAAAGAAAAGAAATGTCAGGCTATTGTATTTTTTTTTAAATAAATTGGAATATAATTGCGAAATTTAAGAAAAAATGTTAATTTTCAAATTTGGACAAATCCCGATCAAAATTCAACCTCGAACCAGAATTATAGAAAATTGAAATATATAACAATTTCACAAGAATACTAGTTTAATTGAAATGTGTTATGGTTCAAGGGTGGATCTAGAGGTTTGGGTTTGGGGAGGAGGTTGTGGACTTTTCAAAGTTATTATATTTCAATGTAAAAGTAACCAAAAAAAAAAAATGGCCTTGGACCCCTCGAAGAAACACCGATCCCTTTTAAAACGGTAAGGAAAGTCAGGTATTTCAAGACAATTGGCGTAGGAAAGTGTTTTCTCTTCCTCGACCCCTCTCCTTCCCCTTGTAAAAAATTCACGAATCTGACCCCCCCCCCCCCGGAAAAACAAATAAAAAATCCTAAATCCGCCCCTGATGGTTTTCAAAAATAATTTAACTTAGCAATATAATGGACACCTCAGTAGAAACTGCATGAGATAGGCAGTGATTTAGTAATTATGAATTTTGCATCGACTTTGATCGGGATATGTTTAATTTCAATCGTGGTTGGTTCAAATTTGAAAATAGCAATCTTTCTTAAGTTTCAAATTTTCATTTCAATTTCTTTTTAAAATATGATTGGGCATTATATTTTTCCTATTTGTGACTTGTTTCTTAAAGATTATCATATATTGTTGCATCCCTGACATGAACACACGCATGCACCCTTTATGTCTTAAAGATCCATTAATTTTTTTTTGTGTAGCATTCTTCCTTGACTATAACTTTTCTTAGATGTCTTAAATATAATTTAAATGTTTTAAATGTTATTATTTTATTTACAAATTATATATTTTGTATTATCACATATTTACTCCTTTATAACATCAAAACGAACGACGTTTCTACACTTTATACAACTATTCCGCACTATAAATTTATGTCTCAGTTGCATGAATCGATAGGCACGAGTATGCTCTACGTATGAACAATTTCTTAAACGAGGCAAGCTATTAACAAACAAGTTGATGAAACAAGAATATCAACAGTCTCGTTTGAAGTTATCATTTCGCAAGTTTGTCAGCACATACAACCTATCATTGAGTCAAATACTGACTGACGTTTTTCATACTAATTGTTAGGCCATTATTTTTATCCTGCATCTACCCCTTGCATTGACCTAGTAAAGGTATCCTAATAAACCAAAGCTTTATTCGGTCAATGCCCTAATAATTAAAGCCTCGTGCATGTATTCGGACGTTCTAAAAGCATTGTGACGTCATACACATTGCCGTGGAGTCTTAGTTTCAACTGAAAAGATGTACCTAAATCGATTAAAAATAGCTCGTTTTGGAGGTCTGATATAAAAAATATATTGCAGGATAAACAAAATACATGGATACTGTCTTGAAATATAAGCGATATTTGGGCTCGGGTCGAAAACGTGATAGAGGACTCGGCAAGCCTCGCCCTCTATCACGTTTTCTTACCCTCGCCCAAATATCGCTTATATTTCAAGAAAGTAGCCCTGTATTTTATATATACACTGAACTTTCTACGGAATTTTCCGGGTTTTTCTTCCGATCATGACAAGGCACACGGCGGGTGTGACCAGCCGGCAGGGGATGCTCACTCTTCCATGGCACCTGATCCCACCTCTAAATTTTGAGGTCTGTGTTTGCTCTGCTTCAAATTTGTATCGTTTCATTGGATTTTCGAGATTGAATACTGTTCGTTATCTTCATACTTCATTAAAAACTAGGCTTTTTGGATATCACAGACAACTGCTTCTTCAATAAAATAGAACTCGGAAATTTTCGTATCTTGTGATTGGACATCGACAAAATTACTTTGTTAAAAATGAAGTCTTCTGATTCTACACAAATTTACTTTGAAGTTGATATCAAAAGGATGCTGGAGTTCCTTTTTGACATTTTTGTAGTCTTCGGAGACCCGGTGGTCTTTTAACAAACTTTTGGAATTTCGATGGGCACTAATAGTGCTCTTTATTAGCTGACTTGTTTTTGTATTCTTATGAAGCCGAATTTATTTTAAGACTTCTACATGAGAAGAAGAAAACACTTACTGTGGTCTTCAACTCGATATTTAGATATATACCGACGACGTTTTATCAATTAACAATAATTTCTTCTATTTATATGTTGACTCGATCTATCCCAGTGAACTTAAAATAAAAAAAAAAAACAACAGAAGAAGAGTCTGCCACATCTGCAGGTATTTAGACGTTTTACTGACTATAGACGATAAGGGCCAACTAAAAACAAAATTGTATGTCAAACGAGATGATTTCAGCTTTTCCATCGTCAACTTTCCTAAATTGTGTAGTAACATTCCGCTAACACCTGCATGTGGTGTTTACGTCTCCCAACTTATTCGATACTAAAGACCATGCTCCGAGTACCATTTTTAAACCGAGGCTGGCTTTCAACAACCTCGTTTAAAGTCAGCAATTCGTAATTTTCATTGTCGTTACAATGACCATGTCAACAAAATATACAGTGTAACCTTTAATTGGGTCGTATTTTGACTGACGTGTTTCATACAAATTGTTAGGCCTTTGTGTTTATACTAAATTTGACTACGGAATGTTCCGTTCACCTGATCAATACATGGAGGGTGTGACCGGTCAACAGGGGATGCTTACTCCTTCTAGGCACCTGATCCCACCTAATTTCCGGAAGTCCGCGTTTCATGGCCTAGCTGTTTATTTTGTACTGTTTATTTTTAATTTTTATTTATTTATTTTATTTATTTATTTTGAGATCGATCTCTGTTAGTTATCTTCAACTTTTTCATTATACAGTGGATATAGATCATATTGATTGTATATTGTCTAGATCTCACTCGAGAATTTTTCATTCATAAGAGAACGTATACCGGTGAAGGACTTCAGATTAACACCTATATTCGGCATTTAGGGCCATTGAGCAGTGAGGATTCTTTATCGTGCCAACTTTTTTTAACGAGATAAAAAAAAAGTCATATCCAACCACAAACCATGGGAGATCCTATGTACATATGTTACATATGTACATAGGATCTCCCATGGTTTGTGGTTGGATATGACTTTTTTTTATCAACGAGATAGGTGTTATTATTCCTGAACCTTGGCGAGGGGATAAATGGATAATAAAAACGCAAACCATGAGAGATTCTTTGTATCTTTTAGACGGTCTATTATCTGTGCTAATGTCATATTTATTAGAACAATTCAACTGTATCGCATGTGATACAGACATGATTTTTAATGCTACATTATTATACATATATGTATATAAAAATGATTTGGAGCTTTCATATTGGGGGGAGGGAGGTTAAGGACTGGAAGGTGTCCAGTCTTGTTTATCCACTCCCTCCCTACTCCTTTGCCCACATCTTTTACCATATCCCTTTATACCCTGTTGACTCTCCCATTTACTCGTTATTTCATGGCATAGGTTTATGCAATATACGTGTGTAAATACGAATTATAAAAAACAGAATAAGTTATAATTTAGCACTCATAGATGAAGCTCCATCTCCTAGTAAAAGTTATCAATTGATCAATGAATGACAAATGCATAAAAATTTAATTTTGACTGTTTTGTTTTGTATATAGATATAATATAGTATAGTAAAGTATAGTATAATATAACATAGTAAAGTATAGAAAAAAGTTACTCATTTTTTTCCAAATCTCATGCGCTGATCTAGAGGGGGGCAGGGGGAGGGGAGGTGAGTCCGGACCCCCTCTGGAATTTGCAGAGGTATTAAAAGTATATATACTGAAACATTGCTCATTGCTTAACAAAAATTTCAGATTATTAACAAAAAAAACAAAAAACAAAAAAAAAAGAGACAAATTTACATGGTTAATGTCTAATGAAGACAAACTAATTATTAGAAAAGCTAACGTTAAGTGAATATCTTATCAAAGCTTTCAAAAAAGGCATATTGCCGTGTGTTTACAAAAATGATAATTTTGAATACTTATATATACAGACTGTATGGTATGTATTTTACTTAATTGTATGGACTGTTAACATAAAATGTTTGTATTGTGGTTTATATTGTTAATACAGCTTTATGACCACATGTCAATTGCAGTTTGATAACCCCAACTGCTGCACCTAAAGTTACTTTTATGGATTATAATATCATATATATGCATGTATATGTGTGTGTGCGTGTTTATCTGTGTGTATGTAACCTCTCATTCAGAACTTTCTATCTTTTCATTGTAAAAAGCTTGTATGCCTTCTGGGCCCAAAATTGGATAATAAAATTATCTTATCTTCTACTGGACAAATAAAAAAATGAATTTGGACACCCCCCCCCTTTAGAAAACTTGTGCCTACCATAACCACCACGAATAGGACTTTTTCATCTTTCGGAAATGGATTTTTTTTTATTTTTGCTTGTCAAGTAATTTTCTGGATAAGGAAGGGTATTTATTCTTTTGTTTTGTTTTTCGTTTTTTTTTTTTTTTTTTTTTTTTGTCAAGAAATTATTGGGGTTGGAAATTTTTTTGACTGGGGTGGACCCCCCCCCCCATGAAAAAATTCCTGGATCCGCGCCTGAATCTGCTTAATGTCACAATGTCTTTTAAAGGAAATTCCTTAATTTTTTTCTTTTCTTTTCAATCTGATGGAAAAGGTGTAAACGAGTAATATATCACAACAGTCTCTCTCTCTCTCTCTCTCTCTCTGCGGTCCAAAGCCTGTTAGATATAGATTTATTCTTTATATACTTGCCGTTAAATGTTATTCAAACTTTTATCAAAATTTCTTCTTTTCAATCTTTCAGATCAAAGACATCCAACAGCCGACCTAACACTCTGTATAATAACCATAAAGGAAAGTACGGTTATTTAAAGATCAAAGAAAACTTTTATCTCGACGATTCCATGTAGTTATTCTTTCATATGCCTCGGGATTTTTTGGAAAAATCAATATTTACCTCTCCATTTCATTTGTAAGAGGTAGTTTTCTTGTGATTTGTATCAAATATGTTAATTTAAGTTGCACTCACTGGCAACATGCACGGATAATTCATTAGACAAAAAACCGAATTAAACGAACACCAATTTCCACGACACCCTTCCCAGAAAATGAACTAAACCAACTGTCAGTCAAGCGGCATGAATTCGACCTAGCACCGCCCTCGTAACTCTGTCAAGTGTGCTTTTCGTAAATAGTTTGTGTGTTTTCTGTGTACTAGCACTAGAGTTAGTCCTTCGTCTACAGTTGGAATTTTGATCGTAAAAACTTTTGATTGTGAACTTGGGATTAAAGTGAACTACTCATATGTGTTGTTTGTGCATGGGAAATGGGGAAACAAGCGAGTAAACACGGTAAGTCAGTCTTCATGGGTCTTCGCGCCCCCGAAATGTCACGAGCGCGAGTTGTAGTGTGCAATGGACATTGTCCATATTTGGTCGGCGTGGCGACTTCGGGGGAACGATTTCCATTGTTAACTATTGGCCTAAATGATGTTGCTCCTTCTAAAACAGGACTACTACTTTCTCACTTTGAGTGTATCGATTTGTTGTAATCCGTTAATTGGAAATCATGGACGGTCTGTATGTGCCACTTAAACTACGGCTGTTTTAATTAAAATTAGTCGATCGTATCAGTTGTGTGATGGTAAATAACCTCAACTAATTGAGCATGTACCAATTTGATTAAAGAAATTGACATAAGCATGCAAAACTTGAAAGAGGTACAAAATGGTCCAACACGGGCACCTGTTTTTACGAAAAGGGTGCGACATTAATGTCTCGATCTTTGAGGAGTAGCAGTACTGTGCATGTCAAATTAGAGTAGAATATTAAAATATAAAATGCATGACAATTTAGATGTGAAAGTTGTCATAATGTATTAATATTTTCTTTTGCATGATATAAACAAACCAGCATACAGAGGAAAAGAGCCTCCTGATGGTGAGTTAGCTCTCCTCCCCCTCCCCTCCATCCCTCTAGCCATATCTTGCTCATCTCTCCTATTTTATCAAGTGTCATGTAAGGCATGCAACCTATCTTAATTGCCAGATATGGAGCACAGATCCTAAAAGTAAATGTAGAAAATTTTCATTGCATACTAAATCATTGGAATGTCATTTCCTTAAAATTTATTTCAGAAAAGTCGATGAATGATCATAATTTTTTTTATTAGATGATGGGGTGGGGGTGGGGTCATCATCTTATAACCCTGTGCCACTGCTGTGTTTGTAAAAGGAAGCACACACTCCACATGTATCTAAAAACTTCCTGATGTAGAGAGGTGAAGACCTAGACTGGTTCATAATTTCACAATATCTAAGCCATTCACAATACCAGCTTAGAAATCCCATATTTATCCCTTTGTTATTGTACAATAAGAGATAAGATGTTGCCCTGATAGATCCCAAATGGATCAACATTGTCTTGTATCCAAGCTACTTGTTTACAAATTGAAAGAATCCAACTTATGAGTTGTTTACAAGTTCCCAGAATATGAGGCATGTGTTGAATGGCATGTTTTGTCACCAAATGCAGACATTTAGAATTGTTTCTACACTGGGACAGTGAGATAAATGAAGAGCTGACAAAATTAAATTGATGCAGGCTTGTCAGCTTTTGGGCCTGGGGCCCACTATGATGCACTACTTACCACATATCATAATTTAACCTTTAGCTTAGCACATTGCTTCACCATTCTCATGTAATACACATAACATAATTACTTTGTTACTTCTGTGTGGTTTGTTTTATAGTAAACTTGGAAGCTTTATCTTTAAAATCTTCCTATTTTTTTCTCTTTTCCAGCAGAATGCTTTCTTATCAATGGTCAGTTAAACAAGGCTTTGGAGGAGCAGATTCTGAAGCAAACAAAGACTGGCTTTAACCTGGCCAACTACAATCTAGATACCTCTCTGTCGGTGAGTGTACTTCACGTATACCCCAGTCATTCATACCTGTATCTGGTAAATAGCCCTTCGTGTTTAATGAGCCAGTATCTCCTTCGCATTGTTATGGTGTATGCTCTTCATATACTTCTTTTTTTTTTTTACCCTGGATCCACATATACAAGTGGGTCTGAATCCTCAGAGGATAGACATGTATTTTATTTTTATGGTATGATTTTTAAGAGGAACAAACAAATTTTAAGAGATGTATCTAATAGGACCCGTTTTAACAAGGAGACAATAAAAAGTGCCCTTTGGGCAAGGCAGACTGTGTTACCGAGTGTACAGAGAGAAAGAGAAAAAAAAAGAAAGAAGCAACACCTGGCCGTGGTGTATGGCTGTGCCATTGCTCCAATTTTGTTCCAGAATCCAATCCTTTTTTCTCATTTGAAAGTAGAAAATAAAACTTAACTGGATTTCCTGTACATCTGACTTTATCCTCCGCTGAATGGTCCTTAAAATAAATACCATTTGTGTTTAGCCAGGAAAACATTCCCCCCCCTTGCCGAAAATTAATGACATTCTTGGGCAAAATGAATGTAAACAAGAACTGTTTGCAAGCAGAGAGCATCCATTTGTTGAAGAATGGTGTAAAATTAGGGTAAATGAATGAAAAATGTGGTCTGCTGTAATTTCCCCTCATCAGCTATTACACCGACAATTAGTTTATTACTTCATCAGAGAAGATCTCGGAGTGTGTGGAATTCGCTCTATATTGGTACATACTGGTAAAGTCTGAATGCCTTAGTGTAGAGAGGTAATATAAAACAATAAATTCCTAAATTATGGCAATGACTTGTGGCAATATTCTCTTAGATATTCAATTTCCTGTTGTAAAAGGTGATTAGGGCAGCTAGACAAAGATAATTGGGGCTTTTCCTCCTCAATTATATATAAAGAAGATGGTAAATATATTCCCTGGGTATGCATTGATGCTTTGTAGTCGAATTGGATGTCCAGGCTCTTTGGATCATAGCCATTCATCTATAGGGGAAAAGAGTCTGTAAGAGCCCAAAATAGGATTCGAAAAAAGACAAGATTTTCTGCCTCAGAGTTATGGAATTGATTAGACTTGGTGAATTTTTATTTGAAAAAGCCAAGGATGAGCAAAATGACATCCATTGAAGATGAAAATTATGGTCCAGAAAGAAAAGGCCATACGCCAACATAAAAAAGCATAAAAGTTTTCTTTATAGGAGTTTGATTGTGGAGGGGTTTTTTATGATACTTTGTCATGCAAATTCAATTTTTGTGTAGTCTTACAAGACATGAAAAGAGGAAGTCACCTCTTGTAGAAGTTCATTTTGCCAAGTTTTACGAGCCTGAGAAATTTGGTGGAGACCATTTTTCATGTTAAAAAGTGGGTATGTTTTGCCAGCATACAGTGTTCTTGATCGCTGTTAAAAAGAAACCATATGGAGGGTACTGGAATTCTTGTGTTAGATCACGTCAGCGTTATCAAACGTTTTTATCTCACTTACACTTATGAATACATCATAGTTGCGTGCTTGTAGGTTATCAGGGTCCATTTATAACAAATGCATTTTTTTTTTAAAATTGTTTACTAGTTATTGCTTTTATTAAAATTTTCTTCTGTGGATGACTTTTTTATTTGGTTTTTTAAATTTGAATGAGTTCTTTACGAGCATTTTAATGAAATTTATTGCATGAAAATTCATAAAAGTCATTGTGGCAAACTTGGTTTCTTAACGGTTATATAGATGGCCACAATACATCAGGGTGTAAAAAATTAGAATTTGGAGAAATACGATCTTCACACATACTTTGTATTTTTTTTGGGTGGCTTTTTTTAATTTATCTAAGAACAGGTATCAGGAATGTGACATAAGATGAGTGTCGGGTTCGCTAACGAGCCTTCACCTGTCCTTAACTTGATAAAAATGTTGAACACAGGAAGAAGCCTATAGGATGCATTGCAGTTGACATCAAATGCAGATATTACCATTAAACAATTACTGTGTGTATTGATATTAAATGATCTAAAGGGAGATAAGATCTAGAGGCAAAATTCGATACTCTTTATCTTAGAGATAGCTGTTTATATTGTTGTTGGATTTCAAAGTGGTTCTTGAAGTAAAAAAAAAGTCCCAATTCCCATTACACCATACATAAGGGTTTTAAAACAAAACAAGGAATTCTTTTGATATGATTGAACTTCACAGTGGGAAGATAATGAAAAAAAAGTGCACATGGAAAAAAATGTGAAGCTGCTTTAAAAAAAAAAATCCTGAAGTATTTCTTGGTAGATCTTCAGACAGAATACTTAAAAGGTGGGATTCTTTTGTTCAAGTCGAGACGAGATGTGTAACTAGTTATTAGCGTTCAAAAAAGTATAATAAGGGGGTGTGGCGACACCAAAACATTGAAGGTCGACAAGTCCGTAACATCAAAGACAGAACAGGAGAGGGAATAATTAATGACACAAAACTTAATTGTCACCAAGTGTGCCTGTCAGTATTTGTCCAGATATTTGATACAGGCAAACTTCTGTCATTAGTAAATTCACATATTAATCAAGGAGTTATTTAACTCGTCCACCAAAGATCACATCTGATATTTTCAGAGATATCATTTCCCAATGAGGAGAGCAGAGCATGTAATAATGTCATAAATTTTCAAAGAGGGAAACTCGTTTAAGACTGTAATGGAACTGACAGTAAATTTTTTGAAGGCCATTGGTCCCTTTGAATTTTTCGTCTTTCTGGATTGCATTGTTTCGTATACTGTACGGCTTTTTTGGGGATGACTTGGGGGAAAAAGAAAAAAAAAAAACTAGATGAAATTCATGAGTTAAATGAGTCGTGTGTGTCATTTATCAACTGTGTACATTTTAATGCTTTTCTTTAACTTCTGCATTGTTGTGGTTTTTAAAATCCTTAAGAAAAGGTCAATAGGGGGGTATTGTGAATGTTACAAAGATGGCCAGAAATCTCTGCCAGGCCATGCATTGTCCCTTCATTGATGGAAAAATGACCAATCCCTGGGTTCCATTGTTATTAAGGGAAGGGTCCTAGAATGGAATGTTGAATTTCAATACTCATTTTAATGTTGAGGATAGAATAACTTAACAAAATGATAGCTGTGCCTGTAAATAATGAATTTGGAAAAAACAATTTTTTTTTATACCCATTCAGATTTTGTTGAGGAGGAAGGACAAGACCGTTTAGTGGTTGAGAACATTTTTAGGTTATCCATTGAAATAGTATGGGGGTATACACCTCGTTATTAAATTTAAAAAAAATTGTCATGATCAAAATCGTCATTTTCATGTCCCATGCTTTATCTGTTGTGTCTGATGGTTGACATGCCAGATTAAAATCCTTTTTGTAGGGAGGTGATAATTGAGCACAGTTGGACATTAGACAGGATTCTTGAGGATACAGCAAAATTTACATGGAAATCCTGTGGGGTAGAAATGTAATTTATATATTTTGTATATTTAGTATGTAATCATATTAGACCTCACAATTTGAAATACCGGTAACACATACGACACAATATCAAATCAAGACTGCTGCTGTTATCCTGGGTCACTTTTGTTCTGCAGGTGACCGATTTCTGTCCTTATCCCCCCAGAGCTTAATTGACCCTTTTTGGTACAGGGTCCTGTACCCATTCAGTTGGGAATTTTAAATCGAACAAGTGGCAAAATTTTGAAATATTTATGTGTAATAGGAATTTTTGCTGTGTAATAAAGAATTAGATTGAAGGTGTACACACACTTCAAATCTGTATGAGATTTTAAAATCTCAAAGTTCAACTTTTTTTAATATAAAAAGTACTGAAAAATTCAATTTGCTTGTCATTTGGGAATTTTTACCTACATTTTGGGAAAATATAGTAAATTTTCAATTGGGAGAGGGTCCTTTTACAGGACCTGGATGCAAGGGTTATTAAGCCCTGACCTCCCTTGTCATATGTCATGCATTGTCATATGGCATGTGCATTGTAAAATATATGAACATTTAAGATTATTTTCTGAAACAGCTGAATTTTGGTAGTTGCATCGTTTGACAAAGCATAGGGAACAAATACTGTGAATACCATAATTATATAATATTTGATTTTTAGGAGCTAAGATAAATGCTATATCAATTTATTGGTTAAATATTATAAATGCTTTTTAGATATGGACTCTTTACATTATAGAATATATATTATGTAATTATCAGGAGCTGTTTTATTTTTACCAACATTTTAAAATGATCCTAATTGGCTTGGGATTGAGGCCCACAGTTGGAGCTTATTTGACCAAACACTGGAAATTTAGTCTATTTTTGGAATTTATAATAATTCATTGGCATCTGGCAGGCAAACTGTAAATTTATGCTGAGTGTCCTACTTAACCATTAGTCATGTTAGTAAGCATTTAGTTTATTTGTGTGTATGAATAAGCATTTTTTTGTTGTACCATCGCACACTGTGACCAGGGTAGGACATTGATTTTATTAAATAAGGCTTCAACAAAAATCTATCTGGACATAGTTTTCCCCATTCATAAAGGAGTTGTGTATTGTCATTTAATTGGATCAATTCCCAGTCACCTTGTGACAAATAAAGTTGATCACTGAGGTCACTGAGTGGAAAAATATGTGAATCAAAAAAGTCCTCATTGATTGATATTTTACAAGTGCATGTAAACAATAAGGTCCTGTACTTATTATTGTTACGTTTTGTTAAAACGGACAAAGAAATTATTGTTGGAAAAACATCAAACATTTAGTATTAGTGCTCTTAAAGGATGTGTGTTGTATTTATCCAACTGTAATCATGGTCCTTTGCAGCAGTATGTGTCTTCAAAGAGATTTTGTCAACAGCGGAATTGCACCATTTTATGATCACTTGACCTGCATCTGTATTCATGGTCTTTTGATGTGTAGAGATGTATTTTTTCACATCAATTTTGGTATTCCAAATATCATAGCAACACCTCTGCTAATGTATGTAATTGT